GTGCCCTGCCTAGCTCCCCTCATGAGGGGGAACAGATGGGTTCAAGTACACTCAGCAAGTATGTGAAGATACACCAGTATGAGTGGTGAATGTGGCTTGGAGGCTGTGGTAAGTATGTGAGTGTAAGTGTGTCTGTGTACCTGAGTGTGTATGTTGGGGTACAGTCATGGTGGAGTAAGAAGTAGGGAACCCATCTTTACTGCAAGGTTCTGCCATGCCCCAGACAGGTGTTTTAATACAGGTTTCTCACTATACACTCACTCACACCTCAAAGACAGTGGTCTCATCTGTGAAAGTGGAGGGGCAGTCAGCATGTGAATAACCCTGGAACCCTCCTGTCTGACGGTGTCAGCACTTTGTCACAGTGTTGGGGACCCCTGCTCCCCTCCCCCCACCTTCAGACTTATTGAGAAACTGTGGAAAGGAGAGGTTACAGTAAATTCAGAAGCCTGCGTGGCTAGCTGTGGCTATGAGATGGGTAGGTAAGGGGCAGGGAGAGGGCTGTGTGTTCAGAGCCTGAGCTGTGCTCCAAGGTTCTGTAGGAACCACACTGTTGGCATCCCCTACATCTGGCTGGGCTTTCCTTCTTTTACATATCGGGATGTTGAAAACAGTTCTTAAGTCAGGTGGATAATAGGTGAACATTCTAGATCTTTTATTTCATTCTGGATTCACTTAATTTCCTGCATATTTCTGTAAGCCTTTTGGGAGCTCAGCTGCACTTTCTCGAAGGCCTGGCTTACACGCTGCCCCGTGGGTGGTGCAGCACACACCAGTGAAGTGTCAGGTGTCCCGCACATCTGCTGCCACATCCCCCAGTTCCAGGTCCGTGTGCCCAATTCTGAATTGGGGGTGGGCTGGCAAGTTGTCATGCCGTCTCCCAGGTGTCCCAGTGAGGGAGAAAAGCCATGTCCATAAGCCTCATGTTACTGAGCAGAACAAGCACTAGAGTGACCCTTCTGTTGATGAGTGATGAGGGCAGTGGCATTTGAGGGGTAAAAATGGTGGATCGGAGTTGGGGTGCAAATGGAAATTGATGTAAGCACGTGCTGTTGTAGGCAGGGGCCTGTGTGGAGGAGGCAAGAAGTGAGAGAGCTGGAGTCTCACAAGAAAGGGTACACAAGTGTACCTTTGCAGGACGCGGGGTCCACAGAGCAGGATGAGGACGGGCGCAGCCAGCCTCAGAGTGGGAGGGAGCAAAGCTGAAAGTATGTTAGATGTGAATATAGGATTACAAGTTGAAATGAAAGCGCTGATCTTTGAACACTTTGGCGCAAGTCAACATTTCTGCTTTCTGTCCTGGAAATTACCTCAAAGTTTGACAACCAGAAAGACAACTTACAAGTGATAAGTAATAAAGGCAGCATCACACACTTTTGTAAGAAAAAAACAAATAATGAAAAAATATTGATAGTGAGCAGATAAAAACACTACCTGGACCTTTTGTCAAGAAATAAAACTTGGCAATCTGGTAGACTCCCCGATGCTGGAAAAAAGATGTGAGTGCTCCCAGAAGATGGGAGAGCGGGAGCTGGACAGCAGGGGCAGTGAGGGCAGTGAGGGACTGAAGGTGACCGAAAGGACCACAGCAGAGTTCATCTCACTGCAAATTTAGGCAGAGGTGGAAGTCAGGAACAAAGGCAGTACAAATGCTATGTCTGATTTTGCAGTATGTAGAATTTTAATAAAAACTCTTCAGGAAAACCATAAGAATGTTGGTATCCCTATTGTTAACCACTGAAAATTGAAACATACAGTGTAAATATAGTATCGAGTAGCAAAAGTATATCTCACTGTAGAAAGTAAACATTGAGACTGGTGCATTTGACTATGATTAGCCAAGTACAGGAAATTAACAGGAACTGTTAAACAGAAAAGGATAGGTATACTATAAATTTAAGCATTGTAACAGCAACCACTAGACCAAAAATACAAGCCTTTTTAAGTATCAAGAAAAATTTCACACACAAAAAGTAATGGAATGAAATAGTTTTAAAAGTTATAAAACAGAAAACATAATAATGCAACAAAAATAAATCCAAACTTGTTATATCAAAATATAAACCAGCTATATTGTCCTACTAAAAGGAAAAACCTTTCTGATTGGATTACAAAGTAAAACCATAAAATGCTGGGAAATGGAGCAATGTTGGAAACATTGAGTATTGATTGCAAACAAATTTGATTTCAAACCAAAAAGCATTACGGAAATCAAAGATAGGCACTTTCAGCAATAAAGATTCAGGTAAACATCTCTTTGTCAACTAATATATCATCAATATTTAAAAAAAAATAACAAATAGCAGATATGAAGGATATTATCCAGGACACTGCAGTAGGAAAGTTTATTTTACTTCTTAATCCATGATGTATCAAATGGACTAAAAATTAGTGCTAAAAAAATAGTTCTGTTTAATATGTACAAAACTAAAAGAACACTTTTTAAAAAGCATTGATAGGAGCCATTCATCAAAATCAACCATATATTTGATAATAAAGCCTGTATAAAATTAACGGGGTAGAACTAACACAACTTTTTCTGATCCCCATGTGATGAAATTTGAAATTCAGAATAAAACCAAAATAAGCAAAAGCTCCTAACTCCTGGAAATTTAAAAGGAAACAAAGAAACAGCAGGAAACTATCTAAAACAGTGCTTGATTTAAAAAAAAAAAAAGGAGTTCAAAAGTGCATAAAATAGAAAATAATCATCATGAAAACACTTCTCACCAGAGCCTGTGGGAAATAGCTAGAACATTGCTCAGAAGAAAACTCTCAGGTTTAAATATTTATATTATTGAGCAAGAATGAATGAATGAATATACATGGATTAAACATCCAGCTCAGCGCAAGAAATTAGAAAAGGAAACAAAATAAACCTTAGTAAAGCAAAAGAAATTTGTAAAGATCAAAGCAGAAGTTAATAAGAAAGTGAAAAATGGTAGAAATAACAAATAAATCCAAATGCCTGTGTTTTTAAATAGGCAGTAACACATGAATTATACACAATCGTAGTAAAAAAAAAAAATCCTATTCCTAGTAATAGGAAGTATCACCACCCAACATAAGGAACAGGGCATTACCTTGGAGTTACTGACCGGGAGGGGGCAGGAGAGCTTCCAGGCATGCTGAGGATTCTGGGTCTTGAGCTGGATGGCAGCCACAGGTGTGGGATATTCCAAGAGTCCCTGGGCTGTGTGCTTTGTGCTCCTTCACACTTAACTGTTTTTCCTCTGTAGCGAAGAAAATAAAAATCTAAAAATGAGTTCTGTAAGAGCTCTATAAAAAAAAAAAGAATTATATCACAACTCTACCTAAATAAGTTTAAACATCTGAATGAAACAGCTGCATAGGAAAATTATTGATACTGACTTTTGAAAGGATAGAAGTTTGAAACAGACCAATTATTATAAAGTTGTCACAAATTAAACACCCTTCCCCACCCATAAGGAAAAGAAACTGAAAATGTTTCATTTGGAAATTCTACTAGATAACTCTTAAGAGTGCAGCGTCCAGCACATAGTATCAGCTGTCCCAGAACCACCTTGCCCCAGCGGTCACTTGGCGTTTGAATGAAGTGGGACCTCACCATAATGACATGAGGGAAATGTGTGAGGAACTCGCTAACTCTCAGCTCAGCAGGCACTGGGCATGTGGAGGACCCAGGCCAGGGGTCTGGCGCTCTGGGTCTGTAGTCCTGCATCTCCACCCAGGGTAGTGCTGCCTCTTCATACCCAGGGATTCTTGCTTCCTAAGCAGTTACTGAGAGCCTGCTCTGGCTTAGGGGTTTGTCAGACAGGCAAATCATGATTCGATAAAGGTACAAACCCTCCTGGAAGTGCCCTGATACACAGCATTGGGCACCAGGAAAGTTCCTGAGGGAGTCTGGGGTGAGGGAGGAAGAGGACCTTTTACCAGGAGAAGAAGCAGAAGCAAAAGTTGCCCGGCTGCTAGCAGTGGGGCAGTACTCAAAAGCCACGGGTGCAGGCTCGGAAGTGGCAGAGCTGGGACTTTGGCCCTGCTCTCTCTGTACTGACTGACTAGCCAGGGGACTAAGCTGGCATGGAGGGTAAGCCCCGAGGACTGAGCTGAAGAGTGGTCAGGGCCCAGCCTCAGGACAGTGATGCTGAGCTCACAGCTGGCTGACGGGGCTCAAGTGTGCACTTCTGTGCTGCTGGCAGTGATGGGAGGCTGGGTTGCCCAGTTTCCTTCGGGAATATCTGTCTGTTCATTGGGACCGTTGAAGCTGAGGACAGCCGGGGCTGTACTTTGGTTGAGCCAGGGCTCACTCCTGGGAAGGTCCTTTGGGTGGGGACCCCACTGCTGTTTTTGGGTCTGCCCTGCCCCTTATGAGCCCAGGATCACAAGTGGAATCAGCTCCCTGTGCTGTCTTCGGCCGGCAGTCCCATGTAGCCTGGCCACCCTACCATCATCCCAGGGCTGTTAGAGCAGGTTGAAATCCACATTCATTTCCCTGCTGTCTCTGCACTGCCTGTCATCCTATAGATGAATTTGAAGTAGAAAAATAATTAAAATACCATGGCCCACAACTGAGATGAAAACAGGCACAAAATGATGTAAAAATAAACTATTATAAAATTAAAAAAAAAAAAAACCTCTGGGCAAATAAAAATACCATGGCCCTTAAGAGAGGTCAAAGTATTGGTACGTTTACAGTATGTTCCTTCCAACTGCTGTGACCCTCTCATCATACTTCAAATGACTGTTCCCCTTCTGGAACCAAGAAGCACTAAGACAGACAAAGTCTGTTTGGAGAAGCGGGACTGCTTTAAGCTCTGGTAGCTTCAAGCCTCTGTGATTTCCAGGAGATGAGGCAAGCAGAATATAGTCTCCGCACCTGCTTTCTGCGCGGGGTGGGATCCTGTCCTCATCTTCCCAGTGAGGGGCCAGTGGCCACTGCCACTTGGGTGTCTGTGGCCCAGGCAGAGGCAGCTCCAGCAGTGCTCACCTAGTGGACCCTCATTCTGTGTTTCTTGTAGCTGGAAATGGAGCTGAAGATGCTGAAATCTCAATCAAGCTCTGCTGAGCCGGGATTCCTGTTCACTAGGGAGGAAGCAAGCTCACTCAGGTAGGTGTTCCTGCAGCCCTCCCCACCAGCGCCTGGTGCACTATCTCTTCTCTCTGTCACCTCCTGGAAGATATTTCCTTTTTCAATCACATGCTATCCCTTTGGCTTTCTATCTGCAGAGACTTGCCTCAGCTGGCTTGAGTGTTTTTTCAGCAGCGTTTCTCAGGCCGGCATTGACAGCTGGGGTTCTCAGTGTCCCAGCACTCAGAGAGCAGAAGACTGTCACGGTGCTGTCTGTTGGGACTTGTGTTTGTTGCCAGCAAAGAGGAAACAAATAGGAGTAACCCTGCTACCCCCACCCCCAGTGCTGCAGGGGCCGCCAGGGGGTCTGAGTGTGGGTTTATTCAAAGGTGATGCAGAACCAACCCTGTTTCAGAAGATAATTGCTCCCAAAGCAACAGTCGCACCAATGTGTGACCACACCACCTCTGGTCTGTGTTTCAGATGAGACTGGGAACACGACTTGCATTTCTCAGGGAACATTTCCACCACTCCTCCCAATCCCTGTGACACCCCAGTACTTTTTGCTAGGCTCCTCTGAAGCATAAAGTGCTTTTCCAGAAAAGTCTTTTCTGAAATGGTCAGTTCAGAGGACAGCAGTCAGCCTGCTGGTCATCACCCTGCGGTGAGTGCAGTGGTCAGCAGGGGAGCTCTGCCTTGTAGTTCATGCACACAGACTGGTTGTGTGTAAATGATATGTGCTAACTATGTATGATACATAACACACACTCATATACACAGTTATAAAATACAGCTCTTCTAACGAGAAAGCATCAGTAAAGATTTAAGTGGCAGCAGCTGAAGAACCCATTCAGCTGGAACAAATCTGTGTCCTTTCTTTTCTGCTGTCAAATAGCAGCTCCAGCAAATCCTAAATGTTGTCTGTGGATTTAGCTACTGGATAGACTCTCAGTCCATCCAGAGACTCATATGCCTGTGCCAGTACCTGCCTGTCCGCTAAGGCATGCACCCTCTGACATCTGTGTCCTGCCAACATGTTTACCAAGGCTATTTCCTGCCACCCTAAGACCCTGGTGTAGGGTGTTTGGAGGACTTTACTGTTGGGATATCGCAGCATTCCTCACAGTGTCCATCGTCCCTCCCATGCCCTTTCCAGACTACAAGGTTGTGAGGTTCTTACTGTTCTTCTACTAAGTGAGTGCTTCTCAGATGCTCCTGCTTTCTGTCCCCTGTGAATCTGCAATCAGGAAGACTGGGCCCTTTGCCCCTTAGCCATTGTTGGTCTCAGATTTGGGCATACCTGGGGAGGGCAAGGCTGGAGAATCACCACTGGAAGACAGGTGTTGGAAAGGAAGCTGGCTTTCCTCTGCTCCCCGCTCTGCCGAGCATAGCCTCTGTCTGGGCCTGCATCTGTGCACCTGGTCTGTGATCCACCTGGAGTTGTCACAGCCAGGTTGAGGTGCTCTGGACTTGAGGCCATTTTCAGAAGGTGTCTGCCATGAGCCTCCTGACAGGTGTCTTCAGGCTTGATGGAGGTCTAGGGCAATCTTTCAGGGGACTTTTCATCCTTACAGCCCTTCCCAGCAGCAGCAAGAGGCTTTAACAGGAAAGCCCATGTGACCACGGGCAAGACATAGTGGTGCAACACACTACCCAACCACCAGTAACTGGGAGCTGGTGTCCATGCAGAAGACATGGTGCCACAGGGGGAATTAGCATATCTCCACCTGCTCTTTGCAGGGACTGGTGTGGGGAGAAGGGAACCCCACACCCTGGAGCAGAGGCCTGAGCCCTTCCTACATCTACCTGCCACTGTTTCTTCCTCTCAGGGACTAAATAGGCTTCTTCCATCCCCAGGATTCTAGAACTTAAGGACATGACTGCTGGGCTGCATTTGCATGTGTTGATAGCTCAGACCTTTAATGCACTGTCTCCTTTTCAGTTCTCAGGCTTCTCTTGAATTTTTCATTGGTTTTTCTTCTCTCTCTTCTTCATTTCATCCTTCTAAAACTATTGCTACTTGAATGTTGAACTTCCTGAAGTAGTTCTCTGGTTAAAAAAAATTTTGATCCTATTTTCAATTTTTTGTTTGACTTTCTAGAAAAAATTTTCCAGTGTATGAACCTGTCTTTATTTTATTTCTACCCATACACTTGATTTCCTGAGATTTTGGTGGTAATCTGTGAATGTTCTTTTATATATATATATATGTATGTGTGTGTGTATATATATATATATATATATATATATATATATATATGCTTATATGTGTATATGTGTAAATACACACATTAGACTTTATGTTGATATTTTATGAATACAATATATTCAGTGTCACTTTGATCATAATCTGAAATTTTCTCCTCTCTGCTCTGAGCTGCTTTCTTTCTGTCAGCTTGGTTTGGCCTTTGCCCTTTTATGTTAACCATCTCCCTGAATGTGTACTGATACTAAGTTTGGGGGACAAGCAGCTCCTTGGACACAGGTGTACCTGGGTAAACTCTGCTCCTGTAGCTTGTGAGCAGTAGAACATGACTGGGCTGTTTCACTGGGAGTGTAGAATTGGTGTCTTGGTCTTTCCTCTGGGCACACTCATCTTTTTGGGTAAGACCCCTCCCAAATGGAGGGTATGATGCCACCAGCTCCTGAAAGCTGATTTGGCGATAGTACCACAGAAGCTCAGTGCCATTGTTCCCAGAATCCCTGGAGAGAGTTTAAAATGAGGGGATGTAGAGATGCTTGTTTCTAAAAGGATCTTCAACTTGGAGTTCTAATTTAACAAAGTGGCCCCATTCTCCCTAAGCCCTCTTCCTTATTACTCACTGAACATGGTACCATAACAGGGAAATCTTGGAGGTTGGGGTGCACGGGACCTAGGACACGAGGAGGGATGTGGTGGTGAGTTCCCATTTTCTCACTACCACACATGAATCTGGGAAAGGAACCGGAGAAAGCACTAGTCTGACCCAGGGAACACACACACAGAGGCAGACACACCTGCACACAGAAAGGTCCAAGAAAAACCTGTCCCCAGTCAAGGGGGAATAGACACTCTGACAGAATGGAACTCCTTTCTGACAATACTTGCTTATTTCAGCCAAATGCCAAGGAAGATCCTATCCCATTGGCCCCTACTCCCTGGCAGCAAGCAGCAACACTTCTGTCCCACCGAGTAGTGTCAGCTGGGTCAAATGGACTTGTCATTCACATCAGCCTTTAGAGAGAGCAGTGCTCCAGTGCCCATGACCAGATGTGGCAGGAGGGCTGGATGGGAGACGACTCTCCATCCCCCACTTACCAAAAGTAGGCATGGCACTGATTTCCATGCCACAGATCTTGGGGTGATTGGGAGCTGATCCCCTGAACCCACTTTGTGGTATCAAAGAGATAGAGCAAGATAGGAGAGACTAGTTACCCCACTCTTTCCCTAACCCAGGTCAGAAGGCTCAGCAAACAGCCTCCTTCTGTACCCTGTAGCAGTAAAACAGTATAAGGTAGCTCACATTCAGTGCGACCCCATCTGTTATGCCAGTGGGATGCAGCAGAGGGGTCCTCTTTTGCTAGTACTGGGTCAGCAGGGCCCAAGGGGTAGCAGAATTTCCACCTGACACCTATCACTGCACTGACATAGGATGGCTGCCTGCCAAAGGAAGATTGAATAAGATGTATATTTAATAGAGTGCTCAAAGTGTCCAGAATGCAAGACCTCTCATCATACCCCCAACAGGGCAGTCATGAATGAAAAAGACAGCCTTCAACTCATGGTGACTCATATGGTAGAATGATTGAACATGGACTTTAAAGCAACCACAATTAAAACATTCAACAGTTACCAATTTTAAACAAAGGAAAGAAATGGTAAACCTCAGTGAACATACGTTTCATTAAAAAAAAAAATGTGAATTATAGACCTGAAAAATACCTAAAAACCTCACTGGTATGGCTCATCAGTAGTTTTAGTTTGGAGATGAGAGGGCTGACATCTGAGAGGTAGCGGTGGTGGAAATCACCCAAACCAAACAGTAGACTGAAAACGACAAGAATGACCTCAGGGTCTGTGGCACAGTTGGGCAAGACACCGTGTTCAATTAGTTGGAGTCCCACACTAGGGAGATATTTGAAGAAGTAATGACGGAAAAGTTCTCAAAAATGGTGAAGATTGTAAACTGACAGATTTAAGAAGCTGGGTGAACCCCGCAAAGTATGAAACCAGAGAAATTCACATCATGACACATGCTAATTAGTCTTCTTGAAAATTAAAGACAAAGGAAAAATGTTGAAAGACTCTAGAGAGAAACCATATTATCCACAGGGAGCACTGATTTGAGTGACAGCAAATTTCTCATCTGAAACCAGAAGCCAGAACGAAGCACACAACATTTTTCAAGTTCTGAGAGAAAAGAACTGTCAGCCAGTGAAAATATCCGTCAGGGATGAAAGGAGAACCAAGGCATTTCTCAGAAATTGTAAAAGTAAGAGAATTTGTTTCTCACAGGCTTCCCCTTAAAGAATGGTTAAAGAAACTCCCAAATAAAAGGACTTGCTAATGGGAGGAGGCTTGGCATGTCCAATGGTAAAGAACAAGGGAATATATAAAAAAGAGCTTGGTAAAGACTCGCCCCTTGCCCTTTCTTAAAATTGCACCCCTGCCACTGAACAGCTGCATCCTAGGGTGATGATGTGCTCAGTGGCCTAGAGAAGACACTTGGCCAGTCCAGAGGTAAAGTGGAGGAGTGAGATGGAGCTGAGTAGAAGCAGCTTTCCCACTTGTCGCTTGGATAAAGTGTCAGAGCCACAAGGTACATTTGTATTTTTTTTTTAAAGATTTATTTATTTATTTGTACAGAACTGGGGTACAGGCCAGAGATGCGGAGAGTGAGAGAATTCACCAGAGACAGAGCGGGGAGCAGAACAGGCAGATCGACAAAGTACCCTGCTGAGGGGAGCAGCGGGCGGGTCAAGGAGAGGTCTGCCACGCCATGTGGTCGCCTCCGGGGCAGGCGGGAATCGAACTCATGAGGAAGTGGCTTTAGATTCTC